ACTATTAAATGCACAAATATTTATTTAATAAATTGATAGTTTTTGAGTTTGACACTATTTACTGAAATGGGATACAAATTTGGGTTTTGTTATCAACCCAAACTAAGTAGAAACGCCGTAACTAAAAAAAGAGTTTGGGCCATATAATTTTGCTATTAAAAGATTTATATTATTTTTTTTATTTTAAAAAAAATCCAGAATTGGCATAATTAAAAATAGATATGATTATTATTTTGTTTTGTCACATTCAAATAATTGACAAACATTCTGTTTATATATGTAAAACCAAGATTGTTATGAAATTATAATTTTAATATTATAATTTAGAAGATTAAACAAGTATATAAAACCAAAGTTCTTTCATAACTAATAAAATGAATCTACTGTGCTCAAATGCGAAAAAAAAACGACTTAGAAAATACTGGCAATTACGCACAAATTCATCATATACTCCTGAACAAAAGGAATATATAATGATCTTTTCGTAGATAAGTTACAACATGACCAACTAATTTTTTGTACAATAAAGAAGAATACATCAAATAGAATCCACCATATGACATTAAACTATTGGTATTCAACTCAATATTGAAACCCATAACTGTGATAACCGCCAGACCTTTGTCTCGGAAATTCTCTTGGATTAAACCCTCCAAAATTTGAAAACCCACCTCTTGGTCCATTGGTACCCATACCAGGAAAGCCCTCATTATTCATAAACATTTGGAAGAATAAATTAGGATCGACAGAGTCAAAGTCCATTCCACAATTAGGACCATCAAGATCTGCACCAGAATCATATCGCTGTTTTTTGACGGGATCACTGAGAATAGCGTAAGCTTCTCCAATCTCTTTGAATTTGACTTCGGCCTCAGAATCTCCACAATTCTTATCTGGATGATGTTGAAGTGCTGCTTTTCGGTAAGCTTTTTTGATTTCATTTTCAGATGCATCTTTTGGAATCCCGAGGATTTTATAATAATCTTTACGAGATGCTTTTTTCAATTCTAGTTCGGCGTTACGTAATTCCCTACGAGTTTCCTGATTAGTACTATCAATTTCTAAAGCCGCCTTTAGATCTTGTACAGCTTCAGTATATTTTTCTAGTTTCATATATGCATCAGCTCGTCGTTTTAAAACCTTAACAAAAGTTGGATCTAACTCTAGCGCCTTATCCATATCTTTTATCGCTTCTACAAGTTTTCCCTGTTTTACTAGTACAGCAGATCGGTTCGAATAGAGTTTGGAATTTGTGTTTTTATTTTCCGGATCAATCTCAAGTGCAGAAGTGTAAATATTATATGCTGTGATGAAATCATCCCTTTTAAAAGCTTCGTTACCAGCATTTTTTTGTGTTTCGATTGATTTTGCTTTCTTTGAGATAAAAGATATAGAATGTATAAATGGAAATGATTAATAATAATAATAATAATAATAATAATAATAATAATTATAACGACATAATTAAAAAATTGTACGTTACCCTTAATAAAATGCGTGCTTTTGAATGATCGGGATCACATCGCAATGCTTCCTGACAATGTGCGGCGGCCTTTTGATTATCACCTTCTTTATATAATATACGAGCTCTTAAAACATGTGCGTCGGGATTTTGCTGATCACCACGTAATATTTCACTGAGAAACAAAGAGTTTAAATAAACGGATTTATTCATTCGAATTATTATGAGATTTATTCCATGTAATCAGTATTCCTCTATTTGATGTGGATTGAATTGACACATTTCCTATTAAGGTCATTATAATGAGACATAATTTAAATTTCTTACTTTGCTATCCTGCTTGCTTCGGCATATTCTTTTTGTTCCAGTAACGTTTCACCTTTCATTATTTTCAATTTTGTAGGAACTTCATCCAAATAAGAAGACGCTCTATCAATTAGTTGTGCAGCCTGAGGAAATTGTCCATTTTGTAAGTATAATCCAGCCCGGTTAATGTACTCTTGCACTTGTTGCAATTGATGATATTCCATCATTGCTTGCTGATTGTTAGGTTCAGCATTTAAAATATTGGTGTACCACCGCTCTGCCTCTGTGAGATTACCAAGTGTAAAATTACATTTTGCACCACGGAGAAGTGCTTTGATCGATGTTGGATCTAAATTTAATGCTCTTTGACAGTCATTAAGTGCATCCTTTGGTCTTTTCAGCATCATCAAAGCAGCGGCACGGTTTGTGTAGAATGTAGGTGACGTTGGATCTAGCTCTATTAAAAATGATGATAATACGTTATTAATGTTATTAATAAAAAAAAGAATGATTGTAATTTTCTTTAAACAGATTAATTGTTAACCAAATACATTACCAATTGCACGACTATACAGCTTAATGGCATTTTCATAGTTTTTAACTTTATACAGTTCATTTGCCTTCACTTTGATCTCGTCGGCTGAAAGGTTCCTTAATTTTAAGAAAATAAGGAAATTAGAAATATAAAATTAGGTTGGAAGGAAATATAAAATTGGATAATGAGAATATCAAATTTCAAGAATTGACATATTATACATTTTTCTGACACAGGTGTGCACATGTTAAAAATAATTTACTAGCTTTGATATCATATTATATTAGATTAAGAAAAAAGTGACTCGTATATCGTAATGGCTCTTTGGCTCTTGTAAATAGCTGCGTATATCATTTCGTGAGGTATTTAAGCTTTTTCGGTTGACTAAGGCACTATAGCTTTTTTTATGAACTTTCTAGAAAGTGACTGTTACATTAATCTTTTCCAAAGCCTTCGTACATCGATCGTATTTTTTCTTCTACTAACATAAGGAAACTAAAGCACTCACATTTCTTCGTTACTCTCCGTTCCGAATCCGTTATGCATATTAACCGGTCTTAACAATCACGAAATGTTAATTTCTTTAGAGGTAGTATAAAAAAAGGAAAAAAAAATTACAGCAGCTTGACGAGCAAGAATATTCTATATAATAATGAAGTATATTATAAATGTCTTTTCTCTTTGACACATAAAGTATCGAGACCCCTTTTTGGAATGAGTCGAACAACATCATACAAATAACAAGGTTTGAAGTGCACACAGATCGAAACGCATAGAAGGTAAAAGAACAATTTAGCAGGCGACCACGGGGTTCATGGACATGGACATGTGATATACACATCTATCACTGCGCCAAGTCTACAGACAGTGCTCATGGAATCATATGATTAACATTAGCTAAATAACCAATCCTAATTACTTGAATTTTGCAGGATTTTTTAAAGAAACGTTTGATGAACCAATTTTTATACTCGGACAAAAATACCAAGAACGTAGTGATGAAATAATGAAGCGTACAATGAGGTGTACATAGAAACATGGTGATGATGCAATAATAAAGTGTATGAATTATAGAGATTATAGGGTAGCTAAAATCTTGCGTTCGATTTGTCATTTGCTTTAATTTTTCACATGTTAATACTATCCGCTATTGTATGTACGTACGTACGTATACGCACGTAGTTTACAGCTAAATCTTGAAATGACCCAAAACTTTCAGATCATGTGATTTAAATCATTCATCCTACAAAAATTATTTTCGTGCCTTTCCTGCTCTCATCACGTGATACACGTCCAATTAAATTAAGTCGTTATTCCTCCCCTGTAAATCACTTTTTTAAAGTTTGATCGAAATTATTTCAACAACCACTCAATGAAATTTTTTATTTGAATTCTAAGGTTTAATAGAATTCAAATAAAAAATTCATCAAATTTCATTGGGTAGTTGTCGATCAAAGATAAACGTTTAAAATTCTTTTGAAATTTATCTCGACAACTATTCAATGAAATTCGATCAACTTTTTTTTTTATTTGAATTTTATGATTTCATGGAAAAAAATTCAAATAAAAAAAAGTTCATCGAATTTCATTATGTAGTAAGCCACAATAAAATTTGCCTGATTCTGATCGATGAGCTTTTTTTTTATTTGAATTCTAACGAAACCATATCGAATTTCATTAGATAGTTGTCGAGATATCTCGATTAAATTCCAGAAAAATTTTAAACGTTTATCAAAATATAAACCACGATAAAAATTTACCTGATATTGATCAAAGATATCTCGACAATTATCTAATGAAACTCGATGAGCTTTTTTTTACGAAACCATAGAATTCAAATTATAGCTGTTTTCAAAAAGGTGTGAACAGATGCAGAACATCATATCACGGGAAATTCACGAAATTTCCCAGATTTCCAAAATTTTCAGAACTAGCTCTAATCTGACTTTAAATTTTTACTAATGAGAATTTCTGATTCTTCAATTTCCCACGTAGGTATATGGAAATCGTTGTTCACACCTTTTTGAAAACAGCTGTAATAAAAAATGTTTTTACTTATCGTTATAGAAATCTTCTAACATTAACTCGTATATTTCCTAAGCTGACCCTAAATTAACGTTAATATGTAATTTTTTAATAAATTTCGTGATTTACCATAACTGATTTATGTGAAGTAATCATATGACTGAATATCCACTGAAATCAACATACGAGTTATCATGGTAACCTAATTCTGTAGTAAAAGTAATATAGCTATCATTTTTACTTTTAAAATAAGCTAAGTAACTTAACCTTTTAGACTCGTTCAATCAAAACGTAGTATAGTGCATAGTGAATTAATAAATTTTAAGGCACGTCTAATTATAGCATGGGTGTCATCAATGACTATGACGATATTAAGTAGCATGTTAAATTAGACTTGCCCTAATTTTTTATTTTGTGTATCCCAATTTTCAACCTCACTATGCTACGTTTTTTGATTTATGCTAAAAATTTCCTAGTTTTGTATTTGTGATATATGTAATTTACGTACCCTATTGGCTAATACTGTTCATCTCGGTTTAATATTCCTAGTGATAAATTTCTTAGATGACAAATTGCATACTTTTCTTTCAATATAAGTAATATAACTTTAATTCACTTTCAACCTTTCAACTTAATATTTCATTTAATATTTCCTGGCTTTGAAAAATTAAAATGGAAGAAAATGGATTCTTACCAACTCTTCATTTTCGATCTAAAAATTCACTTCCTGAACTACCTGACCATACCTTTTCTTGTTCAGCAAATCGAAAATCTCGTCCTTATTCATCCGACTGGCAACAAATAAGTAAAAATCAACATTATGGAAAATACTCAACATGGAATAAAAACACTATTCAAAATGAGGAATACACCCAAGAATATGAAAGACCAGCTAAACGACTTTCTTTATCAAATTCGACAGCTTCTAAATGGAGACAAAATGTCGAGGATAATGGTATTGGAAACTCAAATCTCTCAGACAATAATCAAAAAGGACCATTTCAAAGATCTATGAGTAGTTTTATGTTTGGGAGCAAATCTGTAGAATCATCATCATCATCATCATCTGCCATAAAAAAGGTTATTCCTCATAACTTTGATGAAGATAATATTTTACCACAACCTGGTGATCGTGGAAGTTTTAAAAGATCAATGGCCGGTTCTTTATTTGGAATGAGATCTGTCGAGCATTTGAATCCAACTCCAAATGAATTTAATACTTTAAAAAACGTTCAAGCAGAAACTCGAAGAAGAAGCGATTTAATGGTCAAAATTGCTGGGCCTATCGAATTCCTTCCTACTGACTATGTAAACAATCTCAATTGCTATTTATTTTCTATTACAAATTTAAAAATACGATAAACTTATCTTTATTATATGCTTTAATAAATGTGAGAAGCATAATGATATTCGGACTCTTACCGCAAGGTCCGAATTAGCTAAATTTGACGATATAACTCTCAATAATGTAATGAATCGTTACAGGAATAGCATTTCTTCTGGCTCCAAACCTTCCGAACCTCCCAAAAATATCGAGATAACCAAAGAAGAATGGGTTGCTATGATGAGAACCCTTGATTTGTGTAATAAAAGTCACATATTATTATTGTTATTTTTTTTCTTTACGCGTTTAAATAAATTTTTCGTTATAATTATGATTAAATAATTAGCTGAAGATTATAACCAGAACACAATGAAAATATTGCAACAGTGGCAAGACATCAAAATCAAAGTTCCAATTACCGTTGGCAAAATTATTAAACTAGATTCGAATAAAAAAGTTGCTACTATTGCTGATTATACAGGTATAAAAACTTATAAAATATGTATATAATTTATGGTGTTGATTAAACTATTTAGTCGTTTATTATCAAGGTAAAATACAAGCAATTATCCATGAAAATGTTCTTCGAGTTCATGGTCAAAAGTTTCAAATTGATACAATTCTTGTATTAAAAAACGTAGGTATTTTCATATAAAGAGTTTGTAAATTATTTTAAAGCTCACTTCGATGACGTCCAATTTAGGTATCAATTCTTCGTTCAATTGGAAATACATACCTTAATGTAACTCTCACCAACCTTCATTTGACATCAGCGCCTCAACAATCAAACCATCTAGAGTCAACAGTTAGTGTTTTATTATTATTAATTAACCTATTTCCTTAACAATATTTGGCAACACAATAAGGTCTTTGCAAAACATTATATAAGCTACCTAGCGTAGTATCACTTACCAATAGACCTATTGAAGAAGGAATAGACTCGAATAGTGGGAATAGTGGCAATCAGACCAGTGATAGCCATCTTGGTAATTCCGATAAAAATGATATGACGATTAATAAAGAAAGCTCAGAAGGTAGTACATCGACACAGATTAACGAATCACGTAAGTTTAAAATGTATTTGTTTTGACACAATATTTATAAAAATCATATAATTAATTTGCCTATGTTTAAAATTCACATTAGGAATGAAAATAAGGCCGATGTCCGATGAAGATCAAGAAAACAATAATTTTATGTTATCTAACGGGGAAGATTCCGAAGATATTTCATGGATGTTGGATGGATTGGAAGAAGTAATATCAGTTGATTATTAATTAAAATCCAGAGTCATGTGCTCATTCGCTTTGAAAATTACACTTAAACATAAGATAAACAAATGCTTTTAGTAATGTGGATTAAATTTTTAATATCCATCTTTATTGCTCTGAGAAGTTTATCTTCATAAATATATTATATATGTGCTTCTTAAATACGTATGTACACTCTGATGCTCTCAAAATGTGGTACGTACGTGTGTACCCTAACAGTAATGATCAATAAAAAAAAAAAATAAAAAATAATAATAATAATAATAATAATAATTGATTAGGCCCGATTTTCAGCTCAATCGTGTTGATTTTCGATGTTTGGAGTTTTTTCGGCTAAGCCGACTAGGCTAAGTCAGAAAATTTTATCAGCTTATTTTATCCCTATATGGTTGATCTACCATGAGTGCACCCTCACTTAACAGGTATATCATTCGATCAGTTTAATATACAGTATTATGTAAATGAAAATAAATAAATGCACGTTCTACAAGTGCACTTTTCCCTGAAACAAACACTTATTACTATCGATTAGCGTTTATCTATGCTCTTCGAATTATAACGAGACGAGACTCTTTGACTTAACTTCGTTATGTAAAAAAAATTCGTCTCACGAAACTTAAGGCCACAATTGACTTGCTAAGTTTTTAAGAATCTATATAATGTCCTAAGTGTATTAATGTCAAAAATTGCACCAAGAGCAAATATTGCTTTACAATAGTGTTAACGTAAAATTGTCTCTTTTGGAAAAAATATAATTTAATCACTGGAATGCCTAGTATAACTCTCACATTTGTTAGGCATACTAAGCTGCGCCATCTCTATTCGTACTCCCAGTGTCATGTAAATATTTACGTTACATAAAATGGGTCTCGTGATTTTGTTTTGAACGTGAGTGCAAAAAAATTGAAATGATTATGCAAGATATTCATTTATACGTAATCGCATAAGCATTTTTTGGCATGATTTGCTCGATAAGAAAGAATGCATGCTTTGGCTGCTTATATATTAAAAGTGAATTAGTTTCTTGCGACATGCACAAGCATTCACAAGCATTCACAAGCATAGTTACACACTTTCAGTTTTGCATTAATTCTACGAAGCGATGTAAACCAAAAGGGACAGTTTGAGGTTTTTGCCTAATTTGGGTTTGAGAATTGACATTTGTCGAACTTCCAAATTCAATTTGAAACCTGTGCTCATTCCTTTTTGCATACGTACTGTATCCCAAATCTCAAGGACCAATCAACTCTACGAAATAAACATGGCGCAGGGGAATTATTTCACCAATTGTGGAATTGATTCTCCTGCATCACTAGACAATTTAAAATGACCTTATAAGACATAGTAATTACTATGCCCCGTAAGGACATTTTCAAGGCAAAAACTCCAAGCCCTAATTTATTTATCTTATGATTCGCGCTCTAGCCTGCGATGCATAAATTGGGGTTACAACGCAGTTACGACACAATCGTTTAATCTAGTAAAAAACCTTTAGGAATCTACAAAATCCCAAACTATCAGGGTTTGGTTTACATCAGAGCCAGTGGCTAGCAAAAATAGCTAGTAAAATTCGCATAATTAGCAAAAATAGCAATTTTTTTTTTTTTATAAACTTGCAGTCTAATGCTGCGGGACGCTGTTGGCGTCCAATTTACAAACTAAATTTATTATGAATTTATATTTTAAAAATCATCGCTAAAATCATGTTCATTAAAATATAAAAAATTTTAACCGTGCAGCTTGTAATTTGAGAATGAGCGCACCTGAAACAGGAATCCAAGGCGATTTTTGAAAGTACAGGTAATGTATATAATTTGTCTTTCCAATACTTTTCCAAATCAAACCTGATACTAATCCCAAAATTTCCACCATATTACAATATGTATTCCATTTGTTAATTATGGTTTTTTTTTTTTTTTACTAAGGTCTTTTGGTGATTAGATTTTATTTTTTTTATTTTTATTTTTTTTTAATTTTAAGGGTGTAGCACCCGCACTTAGACTTTATTAATACTTAAATGATTGACATATAATGGTGCCTATACATATACATATTAGTTCAAGTACTAAGACTAGAACATCATGTATACAAACCCTTTATCCATGGCTAAAACCCACCAGAGCTGACCGTATTCCCACTACACAGCTGACTTGGATTTGTACATCCCTTTCCAACTGCTAATTAGTATTCATATGTCCGCCACATTACCCACATTACCTACTCTTTCAACTCCCAAATCGGTGTATGTTGCTCCAGGTAGGCGCTTGTTGCTTCCAGTTTGGTGTGCCTGACAGAGAATTACTCCCTTAGTCCCTACTGGCGTACTTCCAGGAGTTCGTATCTCAAGCCATGCAGCTGCCTCTACCCAATTGGGTAAGTATCTCAAGCCTGCATACTGCCGTAACTAGCTGGTTTCTTGCGACTTTGGAACTCAGGTCTTAACATATCTATTTTGGTAATTGTGCTAACAACTGTACTTCTCAATATGGTGACAAGTCCCCAGGTATGTTTCACAGAATGCTTTCAGTAGTTAATATAGTTGGATGGCATCATAAGGCTCAGAGGTAACAGGTGCGTCATTGTTTCTCTTTATGGTGATTCTCGGCAGTTATAGCCCTCGATTACCATTGTATGCACTTATATCAGCTATACCTTATTGGTGTTTCCAAGCTCTCTTAATGCCCAAAGGCTCCCATATGGGTACGACCAGAGCCTGTTGGATCTATCAACACATACACGCCTCTATGCTTCAACTTCTTATTGGCCAGTGAGTTTTGTACTGCCAGAGGTGTTCCAAATCTGGTAAGGCCAATTCTTTATCACAGGTCTCTTTGTGTTCACCACATTTCTCACTACTTCCAATTCTGATTACCGCCGGTCATCCTCCCAAACAAGATCTCTAATGCTGCAGATTTATGCGCACAACCTTTGTGTAATAGAACTTTCTATAACGATCAACATTACACATAGTGCCAACTACCGTACAGCACTAACTTAAGTACCTGGGATCTTTTACAATCATGCAGATTTGATGGGTATTTTACACAGGGGGTACTTTGGTCTGCACCCTTTGTACTTGTATAAAAATTGTACATTGTTTGGAATACCATCCAATCAAAAAATATAACAATCAAAATTAATAAATATTAATAGTGAATTAATTTTAATTTCTTTAACCAAATTATACGTAGATAAAAAACTCTTTTTGTTCTGTTAAACAGTTATTCCGCTAAAAGTAACAGTGTATAATTAACAAATATCAATAGTTAATATTTAATTAGTTTTTTTAAGCTACCAAAATATAGATAAAACCATGTTTTTTGTTCCATTATTCAGTTATTATAAGTAACAGTGCACAAAGAAACAATTTAGACCAAAACAAATATTTCGAAATAACAAAAAAATATTTGTATTTTAAAAATCACCTAATTTTAATAATATATGGTTCGATAACAGTATACAAAGCATGGGTTAGGCTAAAGACAAATACTTTAGATCATATTTACATTTGCATTAGACTATCTGATAATAATCGATTAACATTCTTTTGTTTTATTATTTCATAATTGTACATAACAGTGTGTATAGTAACAAATATTTTAATAAAAGAGATTTTTAATAATTGAATAAATTTTTACTATTCGCAAGTTCTTTAATTATAAAACTATTTAAAAAGGTTGTTTTAATAATTTATTTTTGTAAAAAAAAAATAGTTCATGCAAATCAACCAGCACGACGCTCACGTTTTACACATCATATTCGTCGTCAATGGTCTGCAAAGAAAAAACTTATGGTCATTTATTACCTTGAGCAATCTAAAAGTGTACGTGGTACAGCAAGAAAGTTTAATATTTAATCTAAACAAGTATGTAACTGGAGAAAAATTAAAGATCAACTTATAATGGCTGCTTCGCATATTGAGAAATTATATTTCAGAAAAAAAGCCAATTTTCCTAAGCTTGAAGAAGATTTGGCAGCTTGAATAAAAAAAACTCGAGATCAACATAATGTAGTAACCTGTATAATGGTTACTCAAAAGGCAAAAAATTTTGCTCAACAACCTAGATTCCAAATTTTGTATTCTGATATAAACCAATTTGGTTTTTCTCGTAAATGGCTCGATGCATTTATGTCTCGTTATAATCTTTCAAACAGGCATAGAACTAATATTGCTCAACATCTTCCTAAGGATCTAATTGAAAAACAACAACGATTCTTGCACTTAAACAATATGAAAATAATTACCCATTTAGATTAATTGGTAATATGGATAAGACACCTGTTGCTTTTGAC